CATGAACAAGACAGAGAGGGGAAGGGGCAGGGACAGACATCCCAGCAGGGTCCTTTCCATCACAATCAACCCCCAACATGGGTCCCAGGCGTATGCAGTGCTGGCGTGTTCAGGAAAGTCTTCGGGCATGAATCGGGAATGGTGCAGGGTGGCTCAGCCTCACAGAGCTTTGCACTACTGCTGCACCGTCCTCCAGACCCCATAATGAATGTTTTAACGAGTCACCTACATGACAGTTACTCTCCACGGGAGCCATGTTGTTAACGTCTCAGGGGATCCTGACTGATCTGCCCAGGATTCTTCCAGTTTGGATACTGAAAGTCTTGTGCCCCAGGAAACTCCTCAGTCTTGGGCAAATCAGGACAGTTTGCTGCCCTCCTGCTAGAGCCTTCGTTTTGGACTTCAGATCTGCATGGCTAACATGTCTAGAAATGGATAGAAAGAGGATTTTCTCCAAAAATAGCTGAAAAATTAAAAATCTCCACCTAAAATTTCCAGCCACATTTCACTCCAAAGATGGTTTTCAAAAAATAACCTAGTGATCCATTTCATTCATTAGGCAAAAAAAAAAAAAAAAAGGCTTCTTACTGTCTGGGGACAATCCACTAATATACAGAGGAAATGAAACCATATCTAGAAATTGGCTACAGTAAATACCATTATGGTGAGGCTATGAAATAGTATGCTATTTTCCCCTTCCATTTCCACACTTTAGAACTAATAAATAATGCATAATATGACAGGTAGACATAACAGCATAAAATTGAAGCCTCGCGTTTCTTTGGTCCTATTCAGAGCCCTTTGGAACCTGTGCACTGCAGGCACACTGTCTGTAGTTGGAGAAATGCCTAAAGCAGCACACTGTCCAGAGGCCACACCCACAGTACCAGGACGTCTGGCCCAAAAAAGGGGCCACTGGACTTCAACCTGTCCATGCGCTCCAGTGTTAAATACTAAGAAAGCCAAAAACCTTCAGTACCTGGACCTGCTGTGGGAATGGCAGAGTCAAGACAAGAAACTGCTTCAACAACTTGGGAGTTCTAAACCCTGTTTAATGAAGAGTTAGATGGTCTCACCTCTGCTACCTGATGCATTTCTACCTTTCTGGAAAGTTAACCTCTCACTCTGTAGATGGAATGAGAGCCCCCAAATATGTACTAATCCCCGGAACCAGTGAATATGTAACCTTAGCTGGATCAAAGGACTTTGAAGATGTGATTAAGGACCCTATGATGGAAAGAGTATTATGGTTTATCCAGGTGTGTGCAATCTTTTCACATGGATTCTTAAAATCAGATAACCTTTCCTGGCTGAGTTCAGAGTTAGAAGGAGATTTGATGTGGGTAGAAAGACACATAAAGATACAATGTTGCGGGGCCAGCAGTTAGCATAATGGCTATGCCGCTGAACTCCCGCTTAGTCGATCACGGTTTGAGTCCGGGATCCAGTGGCTTGAACTCACGCCGGGCGCGTGTGCATGTTGCATGTGTGCATGCCCAAGATTGCAAGAGGAGAATGGAGGAGAAGTGACTGTGATGTGGCCATCCCCCCTGGGGAGATACATCCTTCATCACGGGTGCTATTCATCTGTGTGACGCCTGAGGTAGTATTCTGCATGGAGCCTCAGTATCTGACCATGTCTTACTTGTTCTCTGTATTGACTTCCAGAAATAGATTTAGGACTAGGCCAAAAAAGATACAATGTTACTAGGGTTGGCAAGTGGTTAAGGTGTTGGACTCCCATGTTCAAGTGGGAACTCCAACTCTGTGACAGCTGTCTGAGTCCCAGACTTGAAAGCTTGCTTTCTCACTTTCATTTGCTCTCAGGTCAAACTAAAAATAGTAATGTTAAATAAAATTAAATAAATAATTCTTTCTTTTGAGAGAGAGAGGTTTTTGCTGTAGGGTATGTGTGCTCACCAGAGAGACAGAAAGAAACAGAGAGACAGGAAAGCGAGAAATCATCCGCCTACCCAGGGTGGGTGGCCACACTGCAATCCCTTGTCCTCCAATCTCCTCTTGGGATTTTGGTCAGGCACGCACATGTGCCTGGCATGAGTTGCAAGCCGCTGTGTCTGGAACTCAAACCACGGTCAACTACATGGGAGTCCAGCAACGTAACCATTACACCATCTGCTGGTCCCAATAAATCATTCTTTTTTAAAAAAATGCAGTGTTTCTGGCTTTGAGATGGAGGGAGGGGGCCTCTAGAAGCTGTAAAAGACAAGAACATTCTCCCTTAGTACCCCTAAGAAGGAATACAGCCCTGTCGATACTTTGCTTTTAGCCCAGTGAGATCCCTATAGAACCTGGCTTACAGAACTGTAAGATAATACACTTGTACTACTTTAAGTCTCTAAGTTGGTACTAACTGGTGACAGCAGTAATAGAACACTGATACATCCTTCATCACGGGTGCTATTCATCTGTGTGACGCCTGAGGTAGTATTCTGCATGAAGCCTCAGTATCTGACCATGTCTTACTTGTTCTCTGTATTGACTTCCAGAAATAGATTTAGGACTAGGCCAAATATACTCCAAATCCGTCTGACCGTACAAAACAACACTTCCTTTTACTTGTCTACTTTGTTTAGCTTCTTTCTTCAGTTCGTTAGCACAGAGACTACTTACAAGAAAAACCACTGAGCATAACTGAAACCAATAATTTGCATGAAGGAAAATACTTTTAGTGAGAGTAGAAAATGCCAAATAACACAAAGTTGTGTGCTAAGACACAGTCATTTTCAATGTCTCCCTGGAGCAGGCTGGATGGCCCAACTGGAAGATGCCACTGACCTCTGTGAGTCAAGGACGAGGATACCAAAGGGCACAGTGAATTGTCCTATTCAACATGCCAACAACCCCCGTAGAGAAACTCTGCTAGGATTGATTTAGAAAGTTTATTTAATAGCATGAAAGAAACCAACACAATTAGCCAATGGACAGACAGCAGGTACTTATAAAACAGTCTTCATTAGTAATATTTAGTAGAATATAGGGGCATCCTAGCCCCCACTTGATTTAAGCATTTAAACCTAAAAGAACCTGATTATGGGGTAGCAAAAACTCTGCCTGGTCTTAAAAGCACACACACACAAAGGCCTTTCTTTTGATAACCTTTCATCTCTAGTAGAGATTCCCAACCTTTACTACACATCAAAATCACCTGTTGACCCCAGGTTTTGCATCCCCTTCCAGAAAAAAAATCAGCTGGGGACTTAAAAAAAATAGATAGATAGATAGATAGATAGATAGATAGATAGATAGATAGATACATATATACATACATACATACATACATACATATATACATATCAAGACCCTTCCCCAGAGATTCTGATTTAACTGCTCTGAGTAGGGTCTACATGTCGCTTTATTTATTTATTTTTTCCTTTATGGGACAGAAAGAGGGAGAGAGGGGGGAGAAGGAGGAAGGGCAGAGACAGGTATTTTGGCAGGGTCTTGCTGTATGGTGACCTTCCTGCCTGTCTCCCAACTAGCTAGGATGACAGGTAGATGAAAACACACCTGGTATATTCAGGTTGGCCCAGGATCTGAACCTGTGCCTCCCATGTGACTTCCAGTCTCCTAAACCATGGCACTACCTGTGCACCATCACAGCTAGGCCTGAATATTATTCTTCTTAAACAATTTCCTGGAGATTCTGATGTGCACCCAGGACTAAGGACTGCTTGTCCAGTAGGGAGCAACCTGCTGGGCGTATCCATGTAGATATGAGGCTTGAATCCATTTTTCTCCGCCTGCATTTGTAGTCTAGTTATCACCACCATCTAATCCTCCAAAAGCGAAACCTAGGGTTTACTCTAGATGTCTTCCTCTCTCCTTTATGTCTCATCTTCAATCAGCAATTCCATCAGTTCTCCCAAATCCAGTCCATCAATTTCAGATCCCGGTGAGATCCCTACAGAACCTGACTTACAGAACTGTAAGATAATACATCTGTATTACTTTAAGTCTCTAAGTTGGTATTATCAAAAGTCCAAATCTGAGGGCCTCGCTATTGCAAGTTGACGACTGACCCTCTTATCTTTAGGTAGGTCTTAGACCTAGTAAATGCTAAATACTTCCTGAATATATAAAGGATAGCTCCAGTAAACTAAGGGAGATTGTCAGTTGGGATATTTTTTATTAGCCTTTTGCTATAGCCACTGAATATTATATACATAAATAATTAAAAATTCAACAATCGAATTTGAGCCAACATATCATCCAATTGGAAAGAAGAGACATGGCAAGGTAGGCATATAAATGAAGCAATCCTGGCCATGAGCTGATCACTGAAACTGGGTAATGGGGAGATGGGGGTTGATTATTTAACATATGCTTGAAATTTTTATCCTGAAATTAATTTTTTTTTAATTGGGGAAAGATATACCAGTTATTGACTAGAGGAAACTGTGTTTTAGTGTGAGTGAACAAACGCATCAGTACCTATTTCAGGATTATGGTGACCTTTCAAGTCTACAATCAGATTCAAATGGCTTTAGCTAGTTTCAGACGTTCAGTAAGCTTCTTCAGGAGGAAACCCCACACCATTAGATTGACCTTCTGTTGCCACTGCTGGAAAGACCCTTAGCGTGTCTACAACCAATTGGTTATGATCAGAGTTTACCCTTCTCTGATGTCATCTTCTCTGAGGTTCTGTCTTACACAGGGCATGTCCTCAGTGTTTGCGACTTGATCAATCACATTAAGGCTCAAAGCCTCAAAGGCTCTGCAGCTCAGGTTTTCAGAAGAAGATGGGAAAACGAACGTGAAAATCTGACCTCAGTTATCATTACCGAGTTCCATTTTTTTCTTGAAATCCTGAGGTTGTGTCAAAAGTGATAAAGACTCTGAATGTTTCTTTTCAAAAAAAACTTCACATCCTTAAGTGCTTTTATCTATAGGACCATGTAAGATTTTTTTTTTTTTTTCCCCTCTTAAAGTTCTGTTTAAATTCAAGAAGAGCCTAGAAGAAAATATTTCAGATTTCTTACCTCTTCGGTTCTCAAAGCCTGAGGCTCACTGGCAGATCCGGCTGCTGAGAAAACAGAGAGAAAAAGGTAGGTTTTATGAAAAGGAAAAATAACATGACACATAAGAGCTAAATGATCAATGGGTGTTGCTGTAGATAGGACTGTGAAAAGGCAGTGTCGGTGGAAGGGTTGGAAGGGTGGAGGTAGGGCAGGGAACTTGCAGGTTTCCATTTTGGAGCCTAGAAACCAACATTTTGTGAACTCTTTTTTAAAAACAAACTTGTAATACTGGTGTCCTTTTCTTTGTGAAGTTTGCTAGCCTGTAAGAAATCATGAACACACCGGAATCTAAGTGTAGCGGAGTCCTGGGTGACAGAGGTTATGTATTAGTGGGATGACTAAGAACAAGCTTTGCTCTGACCTGACAGGATGCACTCCTAGCAGAGGCAGAGCCACCGAGATGAACACTCTTGCTCCAGGCATTAGGGGCAGGGTTGGAGTACATACAGTTTGTATGCATCTGACCCTTTAAGTGGGGAGCTAGAAAGCTGGTGGGTTTGAATGTATCTTTAGCATCCACACCTTCTATAGGCTGTGAAGAAATAGAAAGACACCTATAGCCTTTGCCCCTGATGACCTCCATGGATCTGGAGCACAGGTGGCCCAGCTTACCTGGAACCTAAAGTGGTTCATCCCTAAGAAAGTAACCATGTAAAGGAACCTCTTTACTCGTGAAAAGTTTCAGTGCTCCTAGCTCCAAGGGAATTGCCCACGCCTCAGGGAGCACTTTGCCATGTCTATGTTGTGTTTTAGAGCAAAGACAGGCCTCATATCTAGAGGACTGTGACATGAGAGGGGAAATCAAGTGTACATTGGGTCCTAAGCCAAAGGATCATTTGGGTCTCTAGAGACCTCACATTGCTTGAGACTAGCACGTGTGCTATGGTCTCAACCCAACCAATTATATTCCCAGACTACTAAAAGGGTTCATGTGCTTTTAAATGGGCCACAGTTATTAGGAAACCATTATCTCAGTGGTTAATGACAGCAAAAGGGAAAAATAATAAAATAAAACCAGAAAGCCAAGGTCAAAAAACAACCTATTTTCAGAAAATGACCCTTGGGATAAAAATGACTAAGTCAAACTTGCAAACTGAGCCTGTCCAAGGCAGCTCTGGGTCCAGCGCGCATACATTAATGGTGGTACTGTAAATTGGTACAGTCTCTCTAGAAAGCAATTTGACACCAGTTATCAAGAGATTCAAATATGTTCCCAATCATTATTTTAGTGACAAAATAAATACAAATTTCAAAGGGTAGTTTGGAACTAGTAGGTGGCATGGTGGTTAAGTCACTGGTTCCAGACCTGGCAGCTTGCTTTCTCACTTTCCTTCTCTCTCTCTTTCTCTGGTGAGCACATAGGGTGTATGACATCCTATAGCAAATTAAAAATAATGATAAAATAATAAATTAATTAAATTAAAAAGAAATATCCTAAATATCAATTATACATCCAATGAAGTGAAATAGAAACTCCGCATGACAGAAATTTAAAACAATGAATATAAAAAATTTAAATTATGAGGAAAAATGTACATGATACAAATTAAGAGGAAAGAAAATATAAAATGCTATATACAGTGTGAAGTCAACTAATTTTCAAATATCTATACATATATGTACATATTTTTCTAATACATTTCTATGTTTTAATATATATCTTTCTAATATATCATACGTATAGGCTAACACTTAACATTTTCTATATGCATATACATACAAAATATATATCATGCACATACATACAAAATATATATTATGTACACACATAAAACTCTGTAGCATACTTACATATACTATCTTTCTAATATATTTTTTTCTAGAAAAAGATGAGAAGAAAATAATATAAAAAATGTAAATGGTATATTATCTCTGTTTTATAGAATAACGAGAGTGGGGGACATTCCTAGGTATGCCCCAAGATCCGCTCTTCCTCCAAACTTTCAGCAGAATTTTTTTTTTACTTTCAGTAGAATTCTAAGTTTAACACATAAAGTCAAAACCAGCTACTTTTCTCAGCCTCCCTTGAGGCTAGATGTGCAGCATTGTGAGAGTTCAATAGGATGTAGCAAAAGTAACACATGTAACTTCTGGGTCATGTTCTCCCCTTCCAACTTTCTCCCCTCCTGCTGGTTTCAAGGAGTCCTTATGGCAAGTCACCTTAGCCATGAAAGCAAGAACAAGGCATCAGGAAAGACGGAACAACAGATAAAAGGAGCCTGGGTCCCTGTATGACCTCATGGAGCAGAGCCACATTGCTAGTCTTGGGCATCCACCTCTGGATTGCTATGTAAAAGAGAACTAACTTCTAACTTCTATTAGCCACTCTGAAATCAGACCTCTGCTACATGTAGTTCATCCAATAACTTAATGGACAGGGTTGTTTTTTAAAAACAATTTTCAGTATTTTCTAATTTTTATTAATAGACATGAATTACGTTCATGATGGAAAAAAATTTAAGTTAAGCTTGGTTTACTAATAGTTAAAAAAAAAAATCTAAATATTGAGTGAAGTTTGGGTAATACATGCCTCCTTTCCACCCATAAGAAGGAAAATGAAATCTATAGGTTAGAATAGTTGCTACATCATAAGCCAGCACACAAACAGCATACAAACTTCCATGATGCTTCAGTTGAAGCCTTTTAAAATAGTTTTAATAAAAAAAGTGGTTTCAACTCTAAAGAAAATCTGTTTTAAAATCTGCTTGACGTATATTCTTAAAAATAACACTTTAGTCCATATATTATAATTACTCATTTAAGAGGATACCCAGACTTCGTACAGTAAGATTTGTTAGCAAAAAGTCTTCAAAACAGATTTTTATGTGCACTCTTATAACTCTAACGCAAGGTGTTGTTTGTTCTTCATATAGAAACATAATGGCTCACTCCCACTGTGATCCCCCTGGCCCAAATACTCAATTGGCTAGCCGTCAACTAAATGTATGCTTTCATTTTATGTTCCCTGGAGTGGTGACAGATCAGGCAGAGGTTCCATAACCTCCCTATCTCCTTTGTTACCCATGGGCCTGCATTATAAGGTGACTGTCCACAATAAAGGAATCGTATCTAGTCCATAAAACAGAGAAGAGAAAAAATAAACCTGGTCTACTTGAGAATCGCACCTTAAACAATGGCCTCATTAAAACCAGTCTCTAACCATATTAGAATAATACACTGAGGATCATTTAAATCCTTAGTAATGTGACGCCGGCAGCATTGGACGCCTCTTAAAGGATCATTTAAGCTTGTGCACAGGCACACAGACACTTAACCAGGTTGACCTTAGAGACTTAGATGTAATTATATATCAGATAATACAGCAACTGTTTTTCTCTTTCTTCCCAAGAGAAGGCCAAATAGTGCTTCTCTCCCTTGCGAACGGTAACACCCAACACTAATATGGCTAGCTTCTAGTCCACAACGAGGGCAGGATGCAAGTTTCTTCACTTCGCTCTCAGAATGACTGCCAGCGTGTTTCAAGAACCCCCTAAACTCTCTCCTGTAACAGGCAGATGGAAGCTGATAGTCAAAGCTCTGAATTCGCAGTTTCTCTCCCCCTTCCCTTTGCACGAACATAAGCAAGCCAACTCACTGGGCCTAATTACCATGGTAACAACATGCGCTGTGATTATGAGTGTGTTTGTTTTTTAAAATGACTCACAGATTGTTCCCCAGAAGCCCCAGACACACAGGTTTCTGGCTGGTTGAGAAAACCCATCCAAAGTTTTCTTGCAAATTTTTTGCTCCTGTTATCATTACTGGTATGATGGAGAGAGATGCAGCAAATCAAATATGCCCTTCTCCTTAAAGATGGAAAGAAAAAAAAAAAAACACCTGGTTTCTTAAACATTCTAAGATTAATCAATTTAAACCTCAGGTTTATAATGAAATTAATTTGAATTTGCTCACTGGAGATAATTAATCTGTTCCTAATTTAAATAACTAAGGTATTTCGTAATGTAGTTTTAGGGATCTGAATGAAATTATCGGGTGAAATAAAATTTGTAGTAAAAAATATCAAATAAAATAGCCTACATCTGTAGGTACATGGTCACTTGAGTGTTTCAAAGACTCAATGTAAATCTTAATACTAAAAAAAATTTTTTGAGAGATTTTAGCTATAGGGCATGTGTACTGCCTGGAGAGACAGAGAGAGAGAGACAGAGAGACAGAAAACAAGAAATCACCTCCTAGAGATAGTCACACTGCAATCCCTTCTCCTCCATTCTCCTCTTGTGAGTTTTAAGTTGCAGGTCCAGTACTCAAACCACACTCAACTACCTTAGAATCCAGCAATGTTCACCATTATGCCATCTGCTGGTCCCATACCAAGATGTTTTTAAATCAATGTTCAAAACAAAGACATCTATTTTTAAAATGCAGGTGTGAAAGACTCCAGACATTTGGAAGAACTGTGGACATTCATTTATTTATTCAAAAAATACTACTGTATGCACTATTGTTTATAACTGGAGCCTCACAACAGGGCTTAGGGAAGACTCTTCACACTGGCAACAAAAGGCCGTGGGCATGGCTCATGTATTAGCTTCTCTTAGAAAGCTCCTTTGCTTCATAAGGCACATTGTGGGTAAAACTTGCCATGAGAGGAACCATAACGTAATGATCCTATCAGAATGCAGAGTCCTAACTGAGACGTCACAGTTGATTCTCTCAAAAAAATACATCTACAAGCAGTTTGGGTATGTTGATCCCCTCTGTGTAAAATGGAAATAAAACTTATTTTAAAAGAAATCTAACTGGAGGATCAGCACTTAGCATAATGGCTATGTCACTGAACTCCCATGTAGTTGACCATGGTTTGAGTCCTGGACCCAGTGGCTTAAACTCACGCTGGACGCTTGTGTGTGCGCGCCCAAGATCCCAAGAGGACAGTGGAGGAGAAGGGATTGCGGTGTGGCTATCCCCCCGGGGGAGGGGGGTGATTTCTTGCCTTCTGTCTCTCTGTCTCTCTGGCGAGCACATGCACCCTGTAGCAAAAACC